TGTTCCCCTACATCTCCCCCGTGTATGTAATTCCCTACATCTTTCTCGAGTGTGTATTCCCTTACATCTCCCCGCGTGTGTATTACTGTACATTTTCCCCGTGTGTATTCCCTTACATCTCCCCGCGTGTGTATTACTGTACATTTTCCCCGTGTGTATTCCCTTACATCTCCCCGCGTGTATGTTCCCTTACATCTCCCCGCGTGTGTATTCCCTTACATCTCCCCGCGTGTATGTTCCCTTACATCTCCCCGCGTGTATGTTCCCTTACATCTCCCCGCGTGTGTATTCCCTTACATCTCCACCGCGTGTATATTCCTCTTCATCTTCACCGAATGTGTATTCTTCTACATCTTCCCGTGTGTATGTTCCCCATACATCTCCCCGCGTGTATGTTCCCTACATCTCCCCGCGTGTATGTTCCCCTACATCTCCCCCGTGTGTATATTCCCTTACATCTCCACCGTCTGTGTATTCCCTTACATCTCCCCGCGCGTTTATTCCATTACATCTCCACCGTGTGTGCATTCCTCTTCATCTTTACCGAGTGTGTATTCCTCTACATCTCCCCGCGTGTATGTTCTCATACATCTCCCCGTGTGTGTATTCCCTTACATCTCCACCGCGTGTATGTTTCCCTACATCTTCCCCGCGTGTATATTCCCCTACATCTCCGCCGCGTGTTTTTTCCCTTACATCTCCCCCGTGTGTGTATTCCCTTACATCTCCCCCGCGTGTGTATTCCCTTACATCTCCCCCGTGTGTGTATTCGCTCCCACCCGCCACGTCTGCCGACAATCCTCATCCAACTCTCACGTCCACACCTTTTCGTATAACTTCTTTGATCTTGAAACTAATTCTCGGCCCGTGTTATGAGCGACAAATCCGCTCCCTGGTGCGCTCGCGAACTTCAGTTCAAGCTTGTTATTGTAGATTATACGTAAATCGTTAAAACAACACGTAAACAATATGTAAACACGCGAAGTTATTTTTACAGCTGCCGCTGTCGTTGTGTGCTCGGACGTTCACGTCGTTGAATTGCAGAGAGGTGTTGTTATACGAGTTATTCTAACGCGTGCTTATATGGGGGGGGGGATAATCTGATGTAGTTTGCGCAGAATATCTGTCTAATGAAAGTTTAATATTGTCATAACAGAAGTGATATTTTACGAGTAAGTCATCGTTTACTGTTACTATTTAAT